AGACACAAATTGCAAACCTACCTGCCGTTAATGTGAGTTATAAGCTTTGATTCATGCCCTATTATCCTGCATTGTCTTATCTAACGTTGCAGTTCTCTGAGCCATCAAGGTCACACGCTCTCTTCTTAGAAAGTGCACCACAATGAATTTACAATGAATTCTTGTTAGGGTCTTTGTGTTGCAATATAAAACAACTGCTGTTTTGAATCTGTGATACATAAATAAAACTTGAATAGAATTAAATTGACCGTGATGATGTAAAAAGGAAGAAAGGAAAGCACGATGCATAAAAGTCGACACAGCCAAAGTCCTGTTATTTCTACACTCAGTTTCATATGTTGCTGCTTTTCTCACAACTAAGAAATGGCTTTATTACAGAAACATAATTACCCTGTGGGGGGGGGGGGGGTTGCAAGTCAAAAATAGACACAAACTGGTAATATTTGAAACATTCAGTGTCTACCAACAAGTTAACGAGTTAACTGAAGCTGGCTTATTGTTTATGGAAGTGAATTTTGATGGCTATTTTTGGAATGGTTGTGAATGATTAGCAGTAGGTGGAAATGTCTAAGCTGTGGGCTGGAAGAAGGTCAGAAAGAAACTACACAGTCATAAGAAAAAAAAACAGAAAAAAACAGACGTTTGTCAGCAGTCAGTTTCTTTAATATCTTGGTATACTTTGTGGATTTCTTGATGAACAGAAATAAATACATTTAGTAAGTGCAAAAAATATCCACACACATGCATAATGATCTCCAAATGCAATACAAACAAAGGCATTGTGTCTTAATTAATCCACTTCTTAAACCAAACCTGTATCCTCGATTTGGACTGGGCACTATTGAGGTCTTCCAACACTAATTCAGCTCAATTCAATTCGGTTTTATCTGCATACACTGAATCACAACAAGAGTTCATTCAAGGAGCTTTACATTTTACAGTCATTCAGAGAAAACAACCCCCCTATGGGAAACCACTTTGCAACAGTGGGAAGGAAAAACTCCCTTCTTAACAGGAAGAAACTTCCAGCAGAATCAGGCTCAGGGGCAGCCAGCTGAGGGTGAGGGGAGGGAGATTAATAATAATTAATGGTTAAATGCTGAATAGTGTATAAACACATGGTGAATTAAAAAAGATGAGTCATGAAGAAACGTAACACTGACATCTAGTTACAGTACTGCAAAAAAGTTCCTTTGGTTTATATTATGCTATGAAAATAGAAGGCAGATGCAATGACTGATAGAAATATGTGCAATCATACGTGGAAATGCAGTTATACAAGTCAAAAGCGGAGATTGTACAGTTCTAGCAAGCTTGAAAGTCATCTTTATTCTTCAACACAGTCTGACATCTTTATCCAACATTTCTTTAAATGGCTTTCATGCTGCCCCACACCATGAAAGTGCCCCCACTGTTTTTTACAAATGGCTGTAGACGCTCACTGTTGTACCCCTTTTTTGACCTCGTACATACATTTTGACAACTTGGCTTCCTCACCTTGTAGGACCCGTTGCTACTGATTTTCAGTCCAGTTTATTTTAAATATTGTTTTCAGCAAACATTGTAAAACACTTTCACATTGCAATGTTTCTATGTATGAAACAACTAAAATGAAACAACTTATTACTTCATTCATTCAGCCATGTTTCAATGGGAAAGCAGGCTCATGTGGGGTTGAGGAGCTGCTTAAAGCACACAGCTGAGAGTTGTTTCTAGCAGTGCTTTGGCAATAAGCTAAATGATGACAGGAAGCTCAGAGGATCATCCATGACTGACTGTCTTTTAGTCACATCCTTATCAGGTGCTACGTTTCTTACTCACAATACAGCTTTGGACACTGAGAATAGAATAGAATAGAATAGAATAGAATAGAATAGAATAGAATAGTCCCAGCCACTATGCAAAATGAAACTGTGGGTGGTCCACACCAACCCTGCATGGTGTAAAATATAAGCAGTAGGACAGCACAAACACATCAGAGGACAGACAGCAAAGTGCTCGAAAGTAGTGCAAAGGACTTAGTCTGAGTAGAGTGTGTGTGTGTGTGTGTGTGTGTGTGTGTGTGTGTGTGTGTGAGTGTGAGATGGGGGGGCAGAGGGCAGCCAATATTTTTTTGGGCGGTGTTAATGACCCTCGGTACAGCCTTCCTGTTCTCAGTAATGGCCCCTGTGTACCAAAAACACCAGCAGCAGGAGAGCATGCTCTCCACAGAGGAGCGGGCGAAGGCCAGCAGCAGCTCCTGGTCCAGGTTATTCTTCCTTAGGTCATGGAGGAAGTGCAGCTGCTGCTGGGCCTTCCTTATCAGGGCACTTGCATTGTGGTTCCAGCTGAGCTCAGCAGATGTGGGTGGGGGTCACCATTGGGATTCTGATATGCTACGATGGGTCACTGGAGTCATACAACTTCTTTATCTCAATAAATCGCGTTCAGTTCTTTCAAGTGATCTCCTCTTATTTAAATTCTTTCACTAGACCCACAAAGGATTCCTTAACCTAGTTTCAACAGTTCCTTCCTACAGTTTCATAGCTCACATCCATTCATGCTATATGTGCTATATAAATGTAAAATGTAATCTTTAGAAGGAGACGTGCATTAATATTATTATGGTATGTGCACACATCAGTTAAACATGGGGTAGTTGGTTGCATGCCTGTTGTCCACAAGAGTCCATAGTCTGGGTGAAATACTGTAGAGGCCTTGTGAACGACAGGCTTGTTGACCTGCTTGCTGTCTTTCACTGGTCAAAGACCACGTCTACCTGTTCTCTTTACATCATGCTAAGTTAGAGGTGTTTATATTTAATCATAAATGTGTAACTGTTGCTTTTTAAGAAAGAAAGAACTACTTAGCCCTGTTTGCTTTGACCTTACAACCGAGTGCTTTTTTTGTTTTATTATTTTTAAAAATTGTATTATTTTTGGTGTCTGTCTGAAATCACAGTGATTTTTGATTAGTATTTATCCAGCAACCTCTAAAATATCCTAAAATGTTGTGTGTTCATGTACCTAACCTGATGTTGACGGTTGTTTCAGTTTTGCTCCATAAAGCTGCAAACTTGGATATTTAATCATGCACAACATGAAGGTCAAATTTTCTTTCTTATGACTCTATTAGCTTTAGTGTGTGTATAAAGAAACACAAAGAGCTAAGAGACCGAGAAAAGATATTTAACCATCATGTTTCTTCATCAAGCATCTGCTAGTAATGAATCATACCCCATTGAGTGGCAGTGCCCAGTGACAGCATGTCATTACTGGGCGGGTCATACAGTCTACGAGTGCTTAAACACATGATTGGAACAGCAGCCAGTTTGAACCTTGTCCATACATGTAAGACTAAAAAAATCTGAAAAGGAAAATGAGAATAAAATTAATTGTAGAAGCTGCCCGTCAACTTAGAATACATATAGTGAACACTGAAAAACACTAAAAAATATTGCTTCCATTAACGTCTGTACAAGTACAAGTGCAATAAAATGTCCACTGAAAGAAGAGTTGTACGAGTTGAACAATGACATAAAACATATTGTCAGTTTTGTACAGTAGCTTAGCCATTTGACTGATATTAACCTGACTGAGCTTCCACTGCTGAAAATGGGCCAAGAGGCAGAAAAACCCTCCAATAATCAACAACTAAAGAAAGAACTAAAAATGGCAGGACAAAGTTTCTCAGCACAGCATTAAAAAATTGCATTTTATCTTTTATCATGTAACTATTGCATATAAGCCCCAAAATTAAAGCACAGTGGTTCATACAATATGTTTGTTTAGTTTCTTAAATGCTGAGAAACAAAGGCTCTAAATGCCTGTCTTCTGTCTGACAGCATCACATCTGGCACATGTAGACATGTAGTATCTTTCTCTGTGTAACAAATTAGAAAAGTGCAGAATTCTTCCATAAAAAACATGTGAATTGTTCACTGCTGCCTGCGCCAATTTCATATGATAGCCCTCCAGCTGAGAACCTGGTGAAATGTCAATTAGCCTCCATCCACCTCCACACGGTGTGCTCAGCTTCATAGGGTCCAGGGCTAATCGCTCATCATTTACCCCTGGTACATGTCTGCAGGGAGGTGAGCTAGGGGCAGCGGTATGTGCACATGTGGCTCATCACTTCAGAACACATTAGTTTGACTGGGCTTCGCCAAACCTTAACCAAACTTTATTCTAATCTGGAGTTGAGGAACAGTTACTCCATTTTTATCTTGCATTTAAAAGTGCTTTAATACAAGTATTTTTCATACGCCACCTTAATTACCTAATACAGTTAAATGTCATTTACATCACTTCAAAAATGCAAAATGTTCAACACAACATTTCGACTTGATAACCCACAATCAGGTCTGAGGGATTAGCACTGGTCTGGTACTAAAAAACTCCAACAAACAAAACTTGACATTTTGAGTTATTATGTTGAAAATTTAAAATAATAAACCAGTACTTGTACCTGTGCTGTAAACATACTAACATCTATATTTGTGCCAATTCTATGTTTGGAATTCAGGCAGGTCTCGCGATATAATTACGACTATGGCTCAGAAATAAAAATGAATGAGCTCAATTACTTGAAGAGTCACTAATATGGTATTTCCAAACCAACTACTCACCATGTACTGTACTTACAGGGCTGATAAAGTTAAGAAGTGATTATAAGGGTCAGCTATCCAAATGCCAACTTCCAAAATCCTTTCTCATTTGTTCTTGAGTAATTACACATTTATAACAAAGTGTGTTGATGCGTATTGTCACAAAGTTATGGCAGTGAAAGCCAAACAGATGCGATGTTCCATGTCGTGAGTAATTCAACTCTAAAATGAAGCTCTGACACTGAGCAGCAGAGAGAGCTTCAGAGGAGTTTGAACGCCTACAGCAGTCAGGTTAGACTCTACTCCCACGTGTGGGAACATTAGTCACACCTCGTTAATTTCCCCAGCACTGATGACGGAATCAGGTCGCGTATAAAAGCTGCACCTGTCCACCGTTGGACAGCCAGTGGAGCAGAGACGGACTGAGTGCGCGTGCGTCAGCTGGTCCTCACAGAAAAGAGCAAGAAAAACAAAAGAAAATGAGTTTGACTGTCTCTGTTTGCGGCGTGTCTCTGCTGTTACTGCTTCATTTCGTAGGAGCCAAACCCGTTTCTGACCTTCAGGTGAGTTTACCTGAGCTTTCAGCTGGTGTAAATGTCTCCTTTTATAATGATGAGTTATTTATTGCTGAATCTTTGCGGATTAGTTTCTTAGCACTGTGCAGAAATGGCAACTTTATTCTAAAAGCATCTTTATTTCATTTCTCCTCAGAGTTTCAAGCAGCTTTTAGAAGAGGAGATCAACGCCTCACCGTTACTCCCCGCAGACGAGACTGAGGTGGAGGGGAAAGACCTGCACACGGGCAAGTCGGTGTTCGGAGCGCCAGAGGAACAGCCATGGGACTCCTCTGACCCCAGTAACTCCGCACTGGTGGCTAAACAGAACCTCCTTTCCCGCATCTTCAAAGATCTCGTGAGGACCTCCAAGCGCTCGTGGAGCCGGTATAAGAAGGGTGGGATGAGGAGCTGTTTCGGGGTCCGATTAGAGAGGATCGGTTCCTTCAGTGGGCTGGGATGCTAAAGGTAAGAAGCAGAAAACTTTCCGTTTAACGCTATTTGGAATAGTTGCAAGACAGAAAAAAAGACAAACATAGTTTCAATGTCTTTCTTTTCATTCTGAGTAACAGAAACAATTTGCGCTACTAAATGTTACATTTTATGAATAAATGCAGTTAAAATATTGTTTTGATGCAGAGGTATTTTGCGTTCATGTATAACTTGATATGATTTGTTAATATGAATATAAATCGATGGTAGAAGCAGTATTATGGTCCCTATGTGGAAGATTTAAGTCACATCCTATTTTATTTATTTATTTTTAATAAATATCATTATACATATAATTAATCAGATCGGATTTCGTATGTCATTGTGTGAGAACAGCTGGGCAGTTCTAGCAGGTGAGGGTGGCTCTTCACTGGGACTAATAACGTGTTGTTCTGTCAGCAGGCGGGGACCTTCAGCGCATCAGTGTGAAACGCAACCAAGAGCCGAGCTCCCCTCACGCCACAAGGTTTTGACTGACACTTTAAAGGGCGGTTGATTCAGACTCTGCTGTACATGGTTCATATTCAAAACTGTGTTTTCCTTTTTCAAATGTGAGCTGTTAAATTATTATAAATGTATTTATTATTTATTTTTTGCTGTTGTATAAGAGTTGCCTTGTAATAGAATGTACTGCAGTAAAACAGTTATTTTGCATAATTGCTGAGTGTTGCATTCAATTCTTTCCTGACATAATTTAAAGCAGCTCCAGACTTTCCCAGGAAATATTTTAATGAGATGAAATAAAGGTGTCTGTGATATGGGGAGCCGGTACCTGAAGGATTTGTTTGGTTTGTTTCATTTGATCATGTGATCACCTGATAGGAAACAAGATCACTTCTGCTGATTTTATTGCTTCCATTAGGAGCAATATAGACGTTTTTTTTAAATGCCTATATTTCTTAAAATATAATGAATATATTTTTTAAAATTTCCGTGAATGCACTCTGACTCTCACCCCATGATAGCTGAGCTAGGAGCCATCCCACCCTGAACTGGTTAGCAGGAGATGGATGGATGAAAATAAAAAGCTGCTGGGTTAGGCTTCACAAGCAGTCCATAGCCAAAGCTCTCATATTTGAGTATTTGAGGTACAAGATATAAATCACAGCTTTCAGAGACACGGCATATGAAACATTTGGTTCCACATGTTCTTGACTGTACATGCCAGTAGACCAAAATGAAAAAAACAAGCAAACAATTAATGTTAAAAATGACAAAATGAATCAAACTGAATTTCACCAAATTTCTACAACTTTGTTGTAATTTCTCAACCAGTCTCAGAACAAAAAAGAAACCAATAAAAATTCTCAAATGATGAGCAAAAGTACAAAAATGAAGTATTTTTTAAAATATACTTTTTGGCTTTATTAGACAGAAACAGTGAAGGCTGACAGGAAAGTGAAGGAGAGAATGGAAGACATGCAGCAAAGGACCAGGTCCAAACCCGGCCGCCTGCTCTCAGCCATGCTACATATGGTCACCTGCTTATCCAACTGAGCTAAACTGGTGCCCAAAAATAGACACTTTTTTTTTATTATGTCAGTGACTACTTCACAGATAAATGTGCTCTGTCACTGCACTGTTTCTGTGCTGTTCAGATGAAAGCATAATGTAAAATATATTAGCCTGACATCAGCCTTATTTATCTTGTTTTAGATATTGTCTAATAGCTTCACTGCATGAAACTTCATTGTGTTTTGTCTGATACATTATATAATATTATATGAATCATATAATATTCTGCTGTACAGTAACAAGTAACTATATCTTACAAAAAGAAGAAAAGAAGTGCTTCATAACTGATGGCTAATCCTGCGGGTTGGCAGGTAGAAGTACAACGCACAGAAACAGTAAGACTGGCTAAATATGTGGGGTCAGTCAGTCGGGATTAAATACCAGCCCCTCGGTCAACGAACATCTAAAAGTTGGAACTGAATAGTTTTTTATTGACCACTCAAAGGGTTTTCATGTTTTACCTACTTATTACTTAACACAGGTGTTGTTGACTGTCGTTAGAACCTCATTTCAAGTTGTTGCCACAGTCAAGGACAGGATCTATTAGTGAAACAAACCTAATTAGTAGTGAAGCTTGTCAGGTGGGCATGTATACACTCGTAGAGTATTAGATGCTTCCTTTAGTTACTACTTCTCAATTTTTTGACCCATTCCTCATGACTATTGTTCCAATATAGACACATTTTACCAGCACAACCAGTCCAAACTATGTCGGGGCCTTTTTAAATTGTATGACTGTTTTCATCAGTTAGACACAAATACCTCAAATAATACGAGTGAGTATCTGCTCAAACACTGGATCAACCTTCTGTTGTCATTAACTGGCTGATTTGCAACAGTCAAAATTAAAGTCCACACAATAATCATCTCTTCTTAATGCCCCCAATAGCACTCACAGACAACTGGTTTAAATTCCTCAATGCATGAGCAACAAAAATCTATCGGAAAAACAAGAAACCCAAAATTGCCATAGCAACACTACAAGATAATAAATGACACGATAGATTAGAAGCAGTACAAATTTGCATTATTATGTCACAGTGAACTAAAATATTTAATCAAATGGATACAAAAGAAAACCTACAATGACTCACAGATAGATGTAGAACTTAAGAAGTTAGAAATTAGAAGTTGGTGACATCCTGTTGGAAAGCAAACAAAATCATTAAATCGTCACCATCACCATATATTATTGTATTATTGTCTAAAGTCCATCATTCAAGCTTGGGTCCTCTACCAGAGCCCTGGGAGTTTTAGGGTGCTGCAAAGCATCTTAGCTGTTTCCAGGATTGCACTCTTCTTGACAGAGATCTCCGATGTTGTTCCTGGGATCTGCTGGAGCCACTCGTCTAGCTTGGGAGTCACTGCACCAAGTACTCTGATTACCACTGGGACCACTGTTACGGTGAGAAAAACTGCTGGCCGTTTCAGCAGTTTTATTAAACGTGGCCATGGCATTGTTGGTAAGTGTTTGTGGTCACCATTACTGAAAGCAGGCTGTTTGAATAAAAGGGTAGGAGTGCTACAATGTTACTGTAGATTAGGGGTCCCCAATCCCATACCACGAGGGCCGGTGTCCCTGCAGGTTTTAGATGTGTCCTTGATCCATCACAGCTGATTTAAATGGATAAATTACCTTCTCAACATGTCTTGAAGTTCTTCAGAGGCCTGGTAATGAACTAATCATGTGATTCAGGTGTGTTGACCCAGGGTGAGATCTAAAACCTGCAGGGACACCGGCCCTCGTGGACTGGGATTGGGGACCCCTGCTGTACAATATGCCGGCCACTTTGTTGTGGCGTTTCATTCTCTATAGATCTTGTGCTGAAAGCTTGTTTCTGTACTGCCACAATTAGTGCCTTGTTCAGCCACTCTTGGATTTCTGGATTTCAGGCACTTTCTCTATCTGCTCGTGAAGGATGTTCTTTGCAGATAAGGGAATCTGCCAGTTGCCCTTGGTTAAGTCTAGCATCGTAAAAAAAAAAAAACTAGCTCTGCCCAACTGGTCCAGGAGCTCGTCGATCAAACATCAAATCTCATTCAACTTCAACACAGAACCATATGGACCCATGTTTCTTTAGTACAAGAACTATGGGGCTGTGCGACTCTTCCATGCACTGTTTGACTCTTCTATCATTCCCAGCTTGAGCAGTTCAAACAATTCCTTTTGCACAGTTTGTCTCTGGCGTTCAGGTAACCTCTGAACGTGCTGTCACATCAGGCCGCATTTCAAAATGTTGCTCCATGGCATTTGTACAGCCGGGCAGGGGGGAGAACACATCTGCAAAAACTGCTATTGCAACACAGCAAAATCTGCTCTCTGGGCCTGTATGAGATGGTTACCACAATAGGGGGAGGCCAGAAAGCTGAAATTTGGCACCTCCAGCCACCAGAGAAGGGTCTGGAGAAGCTACAGGGTCACCAGAGAAGCTACAAGGAGAGACTAATACAAGCACTTTGTCTCCCAGTGAAAATTGCCAGAATCTAGCCGCTCCCTTTGTACGGGAAATTTTCCTCAGCACCACTGTGGAAAAAACTCCTGGCACGACCCGGATGCTTGGGCAGTTTTTATTTGATTGATGTGCTCTTGAACTTTGCAGCACTCTTCCTTTATCTTCGCTGTCAGTTTCTGTCACGCCAGCTCCTGTGTCTGGATGAAAATGCTCCTCTCTGGCCCCAGCCGCTACTGGAATAGGTAATGCATGATTAAATGATGCTCATCAGTTGTGAAGATCAGCCTCCCCTGCTTCCACACCCTAAACCCGCTGCTCCACCCCACCACAGCTGGATTCTCATTCTTATTTGGATTCAGGGCTGAACCTGCTCTCATCTGCAAGGGTATTTGGGGCACCAGTGGCAGACCTGCTAGTTGTAGTGTTCTCTAGGTCCGTTCACGACAGTTTTGTTTGAAAATGCAGTAGTAGCTTACTGGTGATCTGGCTCCGGCAGTGCTTTTCCTGCTCCACCTTGCCCCAAACCCAGATAGTGTGATGACCCTTTAATTTTTTTAGAGGAGTTTATTCTGAAGTTAATTTGTTTACAAGAAAGTGAAACTTGTTGTTGTTCATTAACTTATTGTTTTTTTTGTTTGTGTTTGTGTTCATTCAATTACTGAGGATTCTGTGACTTGGTGGTCCAAATGAGACTGCTACAATAATAAAAACGATTTTATTTATTTAGACCTACCAAAATCCCAGCAGTGAGTTTAGCAGTTACTACTTGTCAGTCACTATAACTGCATGAAATATAAAAGATTTCCTGTATCTGTCTGTATGAAAGCAGAGCTGAATCCGTCTTTTAGAGACAGTACTTCACCTAAATTCATAATCATTTAATTCACTGCTATATTTGATTAAAGTTATTAAAGATTAAAGTGATATGTGTAGTGTTTTGTTTTTCCTTTGCTTCTCACAGCAGGTCAGTGATGACCGACAATTAAAAATGTTGTAATCATCCAAAGGTGACAGACTTTAAAATACACTTTCAAGAAAAGAACATTAGGCAATGTAAACAGCCCATTAGCAGAGTGGACCCCCCCATTTTTATTCCTTCCACTAAAAGATGATTTCTCAGAGCAATTATTACGAGGTGACCGTACAACTATTACATCTGTGTCTTCATTTAGTAACACTATCATGTTGTCACATTAGTTTACTACTTCCTGTAACTCAGTGACAACAGTGTCCCGTGTGAGGTGGGGAGGCTCTGGAGAATGTTTCTCAAGCAAAGTAGCATATGTAAGCGGCTATGTCATAAGAATACTAGCATACAATGCTTTAAAAGGAGCATTTTCCGACAGCTCGTGTTATCAGAATTAGGTGTCAGGCATGCCGGTCCAATTCCTGGCATACCTATGTGTGTTAACCTTAAGTATAAAAGAGAGTGCTGCTGTTGGCTCCGGCATCCAAACACCTACAAGTCAAAGAAGAAAAAGATAATTTATCCATTCATCCAACTACTAACACGAGCTGCAGCAACCCACAGAGCAACATGCGTCTGTCTTCTATATCGCTCTGTAGCCTCCTTCTCATTTTAAAGCTGCAGCTGACTAGTACATATCCCATCAGCACTGGCTTGACTGACACTGACATGGACATCTTGAAGGTAAGTCTCTAAAGTCACTAAAGTTTTTCTTGAAAAAGTTGAGTCTTTCTGGGAGTTTCAGGCAAACTGTAGCAGCAATCAGAACAAGGAACTCAATTTTATTCACGTAAAATGTTGAACAACATCCTGC